CTTGGGATTTTGAGCATGTACGCACAAGCCCTTGGTGTGAATTTTAAGCCATCAGGTTTGGGACTCAAACCACAGTTGATTATGTGGGAGTCCAGCGACGTAACCATTATGCCACTTGCTGGTCCCCCGGTGTGAGTTTTAAGATGCTGGGTCTGGGACTTGAACTGCAGTCAACTATGCGGGAATACAACAACATAATCATTACGCCATCTGCTGGTCCCGGTCACCTCGTTCTTAAGGTGAAGTCCAGGATACTTTTCTTGGCCTATAAGGAGCTGCTCTTTCTGGGTCCTTTCCATCCTTTGTCTCATTTCATTCCTTCCTATGTCCCATTCACACCTTTTATTCCTTGAAGGTCTTCTTTCTATTCCTTGAAGAACCAGTCACATGGTCTTCTGCCGCACCTCCCTTGCTACCCCTCCCCCTCCCCCTCCCCCAGTGACAGTATTCAGTTTAAATATCAGTTCTTCAGGGTATCTGCTCAGTCTCTTTATAAATCAAATCCTTCTGTTAGATTAGCACTGACCTTAACTATAATGAGATACTTTATACAACTGAATTTAAGGTATTTATACTAGAAAAAAAATTAACTCTACAATATCAGGGACTGCATCATTCATTGCTGGGATTTCTAGTTCCTAGCATAGAATATAGAAGACAATAAGTATCTATTAATTGAATGGGAAAATATCCATGCCTAAATCTTAAATCATCTTCTTGCCAAATACTTCAAGACCTGTATTTCTAATTAGATCTCATTCTTGACTTGGAGCCATGTTTCCCATTTTCTACTTTAAATAAACTCAACTTTTTTCCCCAAACCTCACCTAGTTTCTCATCATATATTCCTGGGTCTTAGTGAACAATATTCACACCACTACCTGAGTTTAAAATCCATATTTCTCCTAGATTTGGTTCCCTCACTGCCAGACCCACACCCAATCCCCTAACCATAAACCACAGAATTGTACATTTTATGCCCTTATTTAAAAACAAAAATTACCTACATCTCTTTATTGCCATTGTTAATATTTTAGTTCAAGCACCAATGTTTCTTGCCTGGGTTAGATGACAGCTTTTCAGAACATGTAGAGTTGTCATTTCCCTCCCTTGCCAATCCACTTTCCTCATTGCAGACAGAAAATTATATAAATGACAAATCGGATAATGTCATTCTCTTTTAGAATCTTTCAACAGACTCCCCATTGCCTTAATATGGCTGAAAGATTTTTCACTCATCTCTCATTCTTTCCTACCATCCCGTTCTCCAGACAGGAAGTCATCCTGAATTACAATACTTATCTTTTCAAGCCCAAGTAAACATCACTTCTCCTGGGAAGACTTCTGTGATCTATCTTAGATGTACTTCTCAGAGATAACATAATGATGTTTTCCACAAGACTTATATACTATTCTATAATAGATTTATTTATTTGTGACTTTTTCTCATGAAGCTGTGAGTTCTATAAAGTGAGGGATTGTTTGTTATTAATCTTTATATTTCCAATGCCTAGTATGTCTAACACAGAAAAAAATAAAAAATCTGTTCAGTGAGTCTATGGGAAGAAAAAAAAAACAGAAAATATTAAGTCAACAGAGTACTGCTAAGATCTAAGCATGAAATCAGAAGGTCTGGTCTACTAGTGACTATGGAGACTGGAGAAATGACTGAAGAAAAGACAATTCATCAAAGACAATTCATCACTAACCACTAATTAAATACCCATTTTATACTAGGAACTACAGTAAGACATAGTCCTGGCCTTCAAATAGTTGCTAATTTAGGGGACCAGCAGTTAGCATAATGGCTATGTTGCTGAATTCCCATGTAGCTGACCACGGTTCGAGTCCCGGACCCAGTGGCTTAAACTCACGCTGGGTGTGTGTGCGTGTGTGCCCAAGATCCCAAGAGGAGAATGGAGCAGAAGGGATTGCAGCATGGCCAACACCCCTGGGGGTTGATTTCTCGCTGTCTCTCTGTTTCTTTCTGGCGAGTGCACACGCCCTATAGCAAAACCATTCCCCTTCCCCCAAAAAAGTTGCTAATTTAGTAGGGAGGCTACAATGCAAACAAAACTATAAAATATAACAATCTCTAGAATAATGACAAGAAAAGTGCTTTGTACCTAAAGCAATTAATTTGCTGGAGGTGAAGAAGGGAAGAATGCTCTATAATAGGGGCAATCTCTGACCTGAACTTCGCAGGCTATGCAGAATTTTGCCAAGCAGAGAACAAAAACAATAGTATTCCAAAGAGTGAACTGGATGCAAAAAGCTAAAAACCACAAGGATGCATATGTTCAAGGAATTAGGATATAAACTATGTTTGTTTTTAAGCTATGTTTCCAATGCTTAGAATAGAGCCTGGATCATAGGAGGTGGTCAATAAATCTTAGTTAAATAAAAGAATCTACAAGTATTTCAGTGTAGACAGAAAGCAGGGTAGGTGAGAAGAGATGAGTCTAGACAGGTGATTGGTTTTCAGATGATAAAGAACCTGAGTCCCATGCCAAAGTGTCTCAAATTAGACAACTAGATAACAGGGAACCATTAAAAGGTCTAATGCAATGAGAGTGGGGTTTAAGAAACAACTGAAATGGCATTATTGAATTTGCTAGAGATAGTGTCTTTTATGAGTTAAATGAAAGGGGCCACACAGGAAAAGGACAAAGTTGTAAGGTATTTCATGTACCCCAAATATGAGAGAGAAAGAGAGAGAAGAGAAAAAAGTGAGGGTTTGATGAAGTAATACCAGTTTATAGATAAAATATAAGCACTAGGTAGAAGAAGAATAGGGACATATTGAGGTGTCAAGTACAAAAGTGATTCAAGTAAGGTTGCTTATTCCAAAGCAGGAAACCACATCAAGTGGTGAGCAAGACTGGGCCAGCCCATAACCTGGTGATTAAGGCAGCTGGATCCCACATGACTGACTGCCCAAATCCTGAAAGGAGGAAGTGGAGAAGGAATTTTGGCATGACCATACGCCAAGGGTATGCTTTTTTACATTTCATCTCTCTCCCCCCAGTGAGGGCATGTTTAAAGAAATAAAAACAAAACAGGGCTACCAAGTAGCATGATGGCTAAGGTGCTGGATCCCACATAGCCTATTATGCAGTTTGGGTCCTGGATCCAATAACTTGAACAACACACCAGGCATGTGTATGTGCATGCTCCAAATACAAAGAGAATAGAGAAGAAGGGACTGCAATGTGCCATCCTCCTGGGAAGTATTTTCTCACTTTTCCTCTGTCTTTCTTGGAGAGCGCACACATCCTATGGCAAAAATCTATAAAAGAAAAAAACAAAGACCAGTAAGATTAAGGACAAGCTAAAAGTAAAATCTAATTAAAACTGAACTAAAACAAAATTTTGTGTAAGACAGAATCTTGGTAGCTTAGTATCTAACTATATTCAGTTTACTGAAAGAGAGAGAGGTTATGTAGTTTGCTGAAGGTCACACACCAAAAAATGATGGAATCAGAATTTGAACCTAGGCAGTCTCTCCATAGACAAGAAAGTTTCAAAGAAAAGGTAGCCAACAGTGTTAGGTAGTAAAGTAAGATGTGAAATCTTCAAATATGGCAAGTACAAAGTCACTGATAGGGAAACAAATCAGTTTAAGGTAACATTAATGAGAAGTGAAAAGACAGTACAAAATGGGATAACATTTTTGCAAATCATGGGACCAGCAGTTAGTGTAATCGCTATGTTGCTGGACTCCCATGCAGTCAACCGCGGTTCAAGTCCTGGACCTGGTGGCTTAGACTAACGCCAGGCACGTGTGCGTGAGTGCCCAAGATCCTGAGAGGAGAAAGGAGAAGGGATTGTGGCGTGGCCATCCCCCCAGGGGAGTGATTTCTTGCTTTCTGTCTGTCTCTCTCTGTCTTTCTGGTGAGTGCATGTGCCCTATAGTGAAAACCTCTCCAAAAAAAGAAAAAAAATATTTTCTTTTGCAAATCATACCTGATCATGGTGGGGAGACCCTGATGAGGGTAGCTCTGTCTCACTCATGGAATAACGTATGAAACTTAAAAAATAGTTAATGGGAAGTGAAGTAGAAGAAAAAGACAGGAAATACTTTCATTAATTGGGAGGCAAGACTACAGGAAGATTTCTTTAAAAATTTTTATTTCTTGAAAAAGAGAGAGGTGCACATACACAACCTTGAGAGGATCTCGCCATGCTGCGATTCTGCCCCTAACCAGTTAGGATCACAGGTGCACCTGATGTATTCAAGTTGACCCAGAATCCAAACCCAGGCCTTCCATGTGGCTCCAAGCATCATGTAGCGGCATCCTACTTCCTGAGTCACTGTGGCTGGACCCAAAATAAAATTTTTGAAAGTTAGATAAGATCTCAATATGTTTGCTGATTACGATAACCCGTGAAAAAACACGTACTTGATATAAAAAAGACATCACAGATTAAGCAAAGTCCTACCTAAGGTAGACAGGAAGAAAAAGGAAAATGTCAACTCTGAAAGTAGAAATAAGTAAAGATACAAAACTAGTGGTAAAGGTAAGTGGAGAGTTCATACCTAAAGGATTCTATTTTTCACTGAAATAGGAGTTTTCAGCTGCATATGAGAAAGTAAGAGTAAGAAGTCCAAAAAAAGTAATAAATATCAAGAAAACTACAGATAAGAATGTAAAAAAGAAAGCAACAGATGAAAAGTTTGTCGAGTATTATTGAGCAGTGTGAAAGAGGAAATAAATTTAAGGGCCAGCCCCAAAGCTCATCAGTGAAGGGAGCTGGATACCAGATGGCTGACTGCAATTCAAATCCTGGCCCCAGTGGCTAAAAAACACACCAGGCCATGTGTGCAAAAAATCCTAAGGGGAAGGAGGAAGGGAACAGAAAGCACTGCAGTGTGACCATACCCCACTGGGGCGGGGAGAGGAACTTTCTCTCTCTACTGAGTTCACATACCATCTGACAATAAAAAAAGTTTTAATGAAGCTAATATGATAATTTATGGTATTTTCATCTAAATTGGTCCCCTAACCAGTTAGGATCACAGGTGCACCTGATGTATTCAAGTTGACCCAGAATCCAAACCCAGGCCTTCCATGTGGCTCCAAGCATCATGTAGCGGCATCCTACTTCCTGAGTCACTGTGGCTGGACCCAAAATAAAATTTTTGAAAGTTAGATAAGATCTCAATATGTTTGCTGATTACGATAACCCGTGAAAAAACACGTACTTGATATAAAAAAGACATCACAGATTAAGCAAAGTCCTACCTAAGGTAGACAGGAAGAAAAAGGAAAATGTCAACTCTGAAAGTAGAAATAAGTAAAGATACAAAACTAGTGGTAAAGGTAAGTGGAGAGTTCATACCTAAAGGATTCTATTTTTCACTGAAATAGGAGTTTTCAGCTGCATATGAGAAAGTAAGAGTAAGAAGTCCAAAAAAAGTAATAAATATCAAGAAAACTACAGATAAGAATGTAAAAAAGAAAGCAACAGATGAAAAGTTTGTCGAGTATTATTGAGCAGTGTGAAAGAGGAAATAAATTTAAGGGCCAGCCCCAAAGCTCATCAGTGAAGGGAGCTGGATACCAGATGGCTGACTGCAATTCAAATCCTGGCCCCAGTGGCTAAAAAACACACCAGGCCATGTGTGCAAAAAATCCTAAGGGGAAGGAGGAAGGGAACAGAAAGCACTGCAGTGTGACCATACCCCACTGGGGCGGGGAGAGGAACTTTCTCTCTCTACTGAGTTCACATACCATCTGACAATAAAAAAAGTTTTAATGAAGCTAATATGATAATTTATGGTATTTTCATCTAAATTGGTCAGTCTACAGATTGTAAACAGAGGTGGCAGATGACTGGGTTGTTTTAGGGATTGAAGGATATTGAAAGTGTAGACAAAATGCTATATCCCTTAAGATCCCACTGGGTGGGAAAGGCAGTGATATCAAGGAAAACGGACATTTCGAAGGAAGAGCTGGATTTAGTAACTGATTCAATATAGAAGATGAAGAACAAATAGTTAAACAGGATTACTGATTCATTTACCTGAGAGAATTGACAGATTAATAACCAAAAGAGAGTTCTTGTGGAGGGAGGTAATGGTATATATAGATGAAATGCTCAAAAAATATAACTCTAAGGTTTAAATTTATAAACAAATAACAAACCAACAAAAAACACTTAACTTTTTGGAAGAACAACCCTGTCATTTTTAAAAGGAGGCCTAGGAAAGTCAAATGAGTTTGCTAAAGTCAATAGGTACTAAAAAAGGCTAGAAACGACTATGAAATCCAGGCATTCTATTACACCACAGAACCTCACTGATAGCTAGAGTTTGACATGATGGCAGGAAATACAAATGGTGATACTTCTTGAGACTTAGTAACACTAAAATTTGGTTTGAAACTTAAAGTTCATTTCAGGTGATAGTGGGGAAATATGATCCAGGAACAAAAATGAGTAACAGGAGAAGCCAATCTGAGATCAAACATTTGCTCTGGTAACCCATACAGAGATAATCAAGAGTTGGATGTAGAATGATGTAAGCACCTTAAAATATCCCAATGCAAGAACATTTTATGCTTCTAAATCCTCTCAATGTTATCTAGCAACACAGATGATAGGACATATAAATTTATCATGGCTTAGAATTTTAAACATTAATTAGAGTTCTGCTTACTTTTAAGGTTCTTTTTATGTTACAATAATATGAAATACTAAAGTCTGATTAGGTCTCTTTTAAGGAGCTAGATATTTGCCTTACCTTTACTACCTTGTAGTCACACAAGTATTCCACCTCATAATTGTTTAGATTCCTTTTGGTGATTCCAATCGATTTACATGTGAGCTTTTCTTTTCTACATAATTCCTGAAGAGTATCAAGTGAAACTAGGCAAGGCACACACCAAGCTACAATAAGAAAATAGAATTCTTTACTAATGAAATAGCTACTCAATTAAAACAAAAGAGAGAAACTTAAAACCTCTACATTCCCACCCTTCGACTGGAAATTTCACAAGGCTAAAAAATCATATGCCAAGAAGCCAATTATGTGTCTTCAAGAAAAAGTTAAACATTAAAGAACTAGTGCAGTAAACTGGTCTTGGATTTTCTCATGGGTTTCTATCCTATGTTTAACTTACATTAGTTAGCTTCTACTAAGCCACTTAAACAAAATGCTTCATGTCTGTAAGCTTTGTGAAGATACAGATGCAAAGGCTAACAGAAGTAATGTTTTGACTTTCTAATATATTCTACACAGAACATATTTCTATCTTAACAATTTTAGAACATGTCTATTATTTTAAGAAATATATCTAAATTTATTTTAAAACACCATCTTTTAACTTTTAAAAACCTTTTTTGATTCTTTTATTAAGCAATGAGAACTGAAATCTAACTGAAGTAGAGTGCTATAGTTACAAACTCATATATGTCCTACTTCTTCCACTTTGGAATGTTGCATGAAATTTTCACTGCAACATTAATACCATCAAGATATAATAATAATGCTGCAACATTATTATCATCAAGATGAATAAATCCAAGACGTAGAATTTAAAAATAGAGTATGATTCTGGAAATACTCAATTTATGTAATGTTTTTAAAGCCACAGTTACACAGCTCGATTTACATAATGCACACTGAAAATAAGACATACTTAAGGTCAGCCTTACAAAACTCAAACTAATTGTGTTACGAGAATTTTAATCCTCAAATTTCTGTAAACATGACAGTATACTGAATTTAAGCTATGAATTAAGCCAAACTGATGTTTATTAGAAAAATGTAATAAACTTGGTTTTATTACTAGTGTCATGGTAAAGCATTAGACAGCATCAAAAGTCCTTTGCCCTAGTCGTTGATAAGTCATTTAACTTATTTGTAGTGTAGTTCCAATCTTTCTGGGTGTTGATTCACTGGAAAAAAGTGAGGGTTGGAGAAGATTTGGTTTATCAAACAAAATCTATCCAGTAAATTCTAATTTTAATTGGTAGCTCTCCAAGGTAGCAGCGACAACCTTTTTGTGTTCTGAGGTCATTCTCTGAGACAAGAGAACACAGCTACTATAACTTTATTACATCCTTTCCTCACCCTCCTCAATTCACACTGGGAATTCACGGTCAGAAACCCTCAAGCACAGTTTTCACAACCCACCTGCTGTGAAATCGTAATTCAAGAAAGGGAAAAGTGTTTTCCTTAAAAAAATAAAATAAAAACCGGGGGAAGAGGTTGATTGCTTTGGAGTGATGGTTTGCAGTAGGAAAAGAAGGGAAGAGAAATGTGCCCATTCGCCCCTTTCATCTTCAGGATGTTCTGTGTAGTTTAACCTCATTATGCAAAGGAAGTTTCTATTGGGATTTTTACCAAAGGTAAGTTTGTCTTTTGTTCTTAAAGTCTTTTTAAATCTAGTTGAGGATTCAAAACATGACTCTCAATGAAAGTGCTACTTTTGAGAATACAGAAATTTTAAATATAAAAAAACTAAGAACACTTGTTTTTTAAAAAATCCCACAGGCTACAACAATGTAGGAAAAAAGATTTCATGGACAAGATTACGTATTTCGTAACAACCACGAAAACCTCCACAAATTCACCCTAATCGCGGCCAATTCTTAAAGGACGAAAAAATGAGGTCATTAATCTACGTGGAGGGGAGCAGAGCTTGAAAACACCTTCACATTCCAGAATGCAATGAACGTTCCAGGCTTTCAAAGGGCACGCGACGCGAACACAAATACACACACGCGCGCATTGTCTAGTTTCTCAGCGTCCACATAAACAGCACGCGTTCCTAGTGGGAACAAAAGTTACCGTAGGCCAGTGGCTGCATCCTCGCACACCCACTTTCTGGGAGATTTTCCGACATGGAAACAGACCTCCTAATGTGACGGCATAGAGGGAAATCCTCGTTTATTCCCTCTCTTACACACTTCAGCCTTAATACCTTCCTCCCCCTCGGATAAGGTCACTTTTACACCGGCAGGTGTTGTTTTCCGCTTTCCAGTTAAAAAGCCACAGCTAACACCCCCACACGCCCCGCTCAAACCACCACAAAGGAGTCCAGCCACAGCCGTGCCCACAAGACCTGGGCGCCCGGGGACCACCGCGGTCGCCACGGGCCTCATGGAGCTGCAAGGCCTCGCGGGCCCGGACTCGCGGTCGGGGCGACGCTTCGCAGCCCGGTGCGTCCGGGGTTCGCGTGGGCGCGAACCCGACCGAGAGGGGGTTCCGCGACCAGGCGGGAGGGTCGGAACTCTACGCGCGTCCCAGCCGTGCCCACAAGACCTGGGCGCCCGGGGACCACCGCGGTCGCCACGGGCCTCATGGAGCTGCAAGGCCTCGCGGGCCCGGACTCGCGGTCGGGGCGACGCTTCGCAGCCCGGTGCGTCCGGGGTTCGCGTGGGCGCGAACCCGACCGAGAGGGGGTTCCGCGACCAGGCGGGAGGGTCGGAACTCTACGCGCGTCCCAGGGTAGGGGGTGAGCGGGGCGGCGGGCGGCGCCCCGCCACGTCGCAGTCCGGCTGCCTCGCGGGACTGCCCGGCTATCCGGGGCTCAGGAACGTGCGTGGGGACGGGGAGGGCGGAGAGGGCCGCGCTCCAGCCTCAC